TGTATATTGCTTTGAGTAGTAGAGTCATTTTCAGAATGTTGATTCTTCCAATCCCAGAACATGGTATATCTCTCCATCTGTTTGTATCATTTTTAATTTCTTTCATCAGTGTCTTATAGTTTTCTGCATACAGGTCTTTTGTCTCCTTAGGTAGGTTTATTCCTACGTATTTTATTCTTTTGGTTGCAATGATAAATGGGAGTGTTTCCTTAATTTCTCTTTCACATTTTTCATCATTAGTGTATAGAAATGCAAGAGATTTCTGTGCATTAGTTTTGTATTCTGCTGCTTTACCAAATTCATTGATTAGCTGTAGTAGTTTTCTTGTAGCTTCTTTAGGATTCAGGTATAGTATCATGTCATCTGCAAACATGACAGCTTTATTTCTTTTTTTCCATTTTCATTCTTTTATTTCTTTTTCTTCTCTAATGGCTGTGGCTAAAACTTCCAAAACTGTTGAATAATAGTGGTGAGAGTGGGCAACCTTGTCTTGTTCCTGTAGTTAGAGGAAATGGTTTCAGTTGAGAATGATGTTGTTTCAGTTGATAATGTTCTCAATGGTTGAGAACAATGTTGGCTGTGGGTTTGTCGTATATGGCCTTTATTATGTTGAGGTAAGTTCCCTCTATGCCTACTTTCCAGAGAGTTTTTATATAAATGTATGCTGAATTTTGTTGAAAGCTTTTTCTGCATCTGTTGAGATGATCATATGATTTTTCTCCTTCAGTTCGTTAATATGGTGTATCACCGTGATTGATTTACGTATATTGAAGAATTCTTGCATTCCTGGGATAAACCCCACTTGATCATGGTGTATGATCCTTTTAATGTGCTGTTGGGTTTTGTTTGCTAGTATTTTTTTTTTTTTGCGGTACACGGGCCTCTCACTGTTTTGGCCTCTCGCGTTGCGGAGCACAGGCTTCGGATGCGCAGGCTCAGCGGCCATGGCTCACTGGCCTAACTGCTCCGCGGCATGTGGGATCTTCCTGGACCGGGGCAAGAACCTGTGTCCCCTGCATCGGCAGGCAGACTCAACCACTGCACCACCAGGGAAGCCCTGTTTGCTAGTATTTTTTTGAGGATTTTTGCATCTGTGTTCATCAGTGATATTCGCCTGTAGTTTTCTTTCTTTGTGACATCTTTGTCTGGTTTTGGTATCAGGGTGATGGTTGCCTCATAGAATGAGTTTGGGAATGCTTCTCCCTCTGCTGTATTTTGGAAGAGTTTGAGAAGGATAGGTGTTAGCTCTTCTCTAAATTTTTGATAGAATTTGCCTGTGAAGCCATCTGTTCCTGGGCTTTTGTTGGAAGATTTTTAATCACAGTCTCAATTTCAGTGCTTGTGATTTTTCTGTTTATATTTTCTATTTCTTCCTGGTTCAGTCTCAGAAGGTTGTGCTTTTCTAAGAATGTGTCCATTTCTTCCAGGTTGTCCATTTTACTGGCATATAGTTGCTTGTAGTGATCTGTCATGATCCTTTGTATTTCTGCAGTGTCAGTTGTTACTTCTCCTTTTTTATTTCTAATTCTATTGATTTGAGTCTTCTCCGTTTTTTTCTTGATGAGGCTGGCTAATCGTTTATCAATTTTGTTTACCTTCTCAAATAAACAGGCTTTAGTTTTATTGATCTTTGCTATTGTTTTCTTCATTTCTTTTTCATTTATTTCTGATCTGATCTTTATGATTCCTTTCCTTCCGTTAACTTTGGGTTTTTTTTTGTTCTTTTCTCTCTAATTGCTTTAGGTGTAAGGTTAGGTTGTTTATTTGAGATTTTTCTTGTTTCTTGATGGAGGATTGGATTGCTGTAAACTTCCCTGTTAGAACTGCTTTGCTGCATCCCATAGGATTTGTGTCATCGTGTATTCATTGTCATTTGTTTTTAGGTATTTTTGATTTCCTCTTTGATTTCTTCAGTTATCTCTTGGTCATTTAGCAGTGTATTGTTTAGCCTCCATGTGTTTGTGTTTTGTACAGATTTTTCCCTGTAATTGATATCTAGTCTCATAGCATTGTGGTTGGAAAAGATACTTGGTGTGATTTGAATTTCCTTAAATTTACCAAACCTTGATTTGTGACCCAAGATATTATCTATTCTGGAGAATGTTCCATGAGCACTTGAGAAGAAAGAGTATTCTGTTGCTTTTGGATGGAATGTCCTATATATATCAATTAAGTCCATCTTTTTTAATGTGTCATTTAAAGCTTGTATTTCCTTATTTGTTTTCATTTTGGTTTATCTGTCCATTGGTGAAAGTGGGGTGTTAAAGTCCCCTACCATGATTATGTTACTGTCTATTTCCCCTTTAATGGCTGTTAGCATTTGCCTTAAAAATTGAGGTGCTCCTAAGTTGGGTGCGTAAATATTAAAGATTTTTATATCTTCTTCTTGGATTGATCCCTTGATCATTATGTTGTGTCCTTCTTTGTCTCTTGTAGTAGTCTTTATTTGAAAGTCTATTTTGTCTGATATGAGAATTGCTACTCCAGCTTTCTTTTGATTTCCATTGCATAGAATATCATTTTCCATCCCCTCACTTTCAGTCTGTATGTGTCCGTAGGTCTGAAGTGGGTCTCTTGTAGACAGCATATATATGGGTCTTGCTTTTGTATCCATTCAGCCAGTGTATGTCTTTTGGTTGGAGCACATAATCCATTTACATTTAAGGTAGTTATCGATATTTATGTTCCTATTACTATTTTCTTAATGTTTTCAGTTTGTTATTGTAGGTCTTTTCCTTCTCTTGTGTTTCCTGCCTAGAGAAGTTCCTTTAGCATTTTTTATAAAGCTGGTTTGGTGGTGCTGAATTCTCTTAACTTTTCCTTGTCTGTAAAGGTTTTAATATCTCTGTCAAATCTGAGTGAGATCATTGCTGCCTAGCGGAATCTTGATTGTAGGTTTGTCCCTTTCATCATTTTAAGTATATCCTGCCACTCCTTTTTGGCTTGCAGTGTTTTTACTGAAAAATCAGGTGTTAACCTTATGGGGATTCCCTTGTATGTTATTTTTCCCTTTCTGCTTTGTATATTTTTTTCTTTATATTTAATTTTTGATGGTTTGATTAATATGTGTCTTGGTGTGTTTCTTCTTGGATTTATCCTCTGTGGGACTCTCTTTGCTTCCTGGACTTTATTGACTATTTTCTTTCCCATATTAGGGAAGTTTTCAACTATAATCTCTTGAAATATTTTCTCAGTCCCTTTCTTTTTCTCTTCTTCTGGGACCCCTATAATTCGAATGTTGGTGCATTTAATGTTGTCCCAGAGGTCTCTGAGAATGTCCTCAGTTGTTTTCATTCTTCTTTCTTTATTCTGCTCTGTGGTAGTTATTTCCACTATTTTATCTTCCAGGTCACTTATCTGTTCTTGTGCCTCATTTATTGTGACTTTGATTCCTTCTAGAGAATTTTAAATTTCATTTATTGTGTTGTTCATCGTTGTTTGTTTGCTCTTTAGTTCTTGTAGGTGCTTGTTAAACATTTCTTGCATTTTCTCCATTCTGTTTCCAGGATTTGGGTCAGTTTTACTCTCATTATTCTGAATTCTTTTTCACGTATATTTCCTATTTCCTCTTCATTTGTTTGGTCTGGTGGTTTTTGCCTTGCTTCTTCATCTGCTGTGTGTTTCTCTGTCTTCTCAGTTAGCTTAATTTACTGTGTTTGGGGTCTTCTTTTTGCAGGCTGCGTGTTTGTTGTTCCCATTGTTTTTGGTGTCTGCCCCCAGTGGCTAAGCTTGGTTCAGTGGGTTCTGTAGGCTTCCTGGTGGAGGGGACTTGTGCCTGTGTTCTAGTGGATGAACCTGGATCTTGTCTTTCTGGTTGGCAGGACCGTGTCTGGTGGTGTGTTTTGGGGTTTCTGTGACCTTATTATGATTGTAGGCAGCCTCTCTGCTAATGTGTGGGGTTGTGTTCCTGTCTTGTTAGTTGTTTGGCGTAGGATGTCCATCAGTGGAACTTGCTGGTCATTCAGTGGAGCTGGGTTTTAGTGTTTAGTTGGAGATCTCTGGGAGAACTTCACTGTTTGATATTATGTGGAGCTGGGAGGTCTCTGGCGGACCAATGTCCTGAACTCGGCTCTCCCACTTCAGAGCCACAGGCCTGACACCTCGCTGGAGCACCAAGACCCTGTCAGCCACTCAGCTTGTCTCCTATTGTATTCCCACCTGCTCACTCCTTTCTAGTCTTGTAATTTTCTTGCTGAATGTTGAACACACCAGGATTTTGCATTTGCAGTTCCCACTTGCCTGGAATGCTCTTCCCCTGATATTCAATGGCTCATACTCTTTCTCTCTCATTCTGTTATTTAAAAATATTTCTTTAAATTTGAAGATATTGCTGATCATGTTTTGTACACTTATGTGATCATGGTTTTCCTTCTCTAGACCAATGGTGTGTAAGCAATGTAAAAATTCATTCACACATTTTGGCCCTCTATACTCTGTATTCCTCACTGAAAGACCACAGATCAATGTTTCAAAAGAAAAACAGGATGGATATAAGCCATAACTAACTTCCAATATGAAATCCTTTTGTTTTTACTCAGTGAGTGTGATTATAGGTACAAGGACAAATTGCACTATAAATTATGTGAGATTTTATATGAAAAACTTATTAATTAACTAACACTAGATTTAGATGTTTTCATTCTCCTTGGGTTTCACTTTAAGTACATTGCAGATGTATTTGATTCTGATTCTTGAATCAGTGTGTGCTATTAGATGAAAAACAGTGACAGGAATTTATTTTATATTATGTAGTATAGGCAAAGGGACTCTATTTGCTGGAATAAATAGGCACTCTTTGTTCACAGTATCAGATCTGTTCTATGCATTTAATAATCATAACATTTCGGGGTGGAATGACATCCTGTTTAAGAGGGCACATTTGCATTGCTTATCACTTGGTGTATCTGTTACTTTAATGTGATTAATTCTTTCAGATGAACAGTTTTTAGGAATACTGGAGATTTGTCTCTGGTCGTAAGCCTTTGATTCTGTTTTCCTAGGTTATCAATTCTTGAATCCTTAGCCTTGTCTCCTTTCCAAACCTTTGGATTGGTCTATGGACGTCTCCCCCATCCTCTCCAGGCACCAAATTCAGTAAGTGGCTTTTGTCTTGATATGTGAATGCAGCCTCTGATTTAAGCTCAGTTTGCCTAAACCTGCTTTTTGTTCCCTTACTCCAGTTTGTTGTATGCCTGGATCCCTCATTTTTGTCTCTTTTGTAATCTTCTAATAAATTCCAGGGATCTTGGTCTTGGCACTAGATCTTACTTTATGGTGATTCTTGCATTTTGTATATCATTTACATTTGTAGTTTGATCTCTTATTATTGATGTCCCGTTGGGTCAATATTTCTCAATTCACTGAACTTGCACTTTGTTTTTTATAATCCATTACTGGCTTTCAACCAACCCAGTGTGGCCTGTATTGCCACAGTCCATACCATGGTTACAAGCTAATCGTGAACCAGGTATCATAGTTGTTTTTTTTTTTTTTCTCCCCTCAGTAATCCCTGTATCCTTAGGACAAACAGTTTAGATTAGGTTTCTTGAACCTATGATACAGGATTGACAACTGACAAATTATTAAAACATGCCACTTCTATGTGGGATTTCCTTTCATGTTTGTACGTTCTGCATCTTGGAAGAAAATCTAGGCCCTATGCCAGGCTTAATGCTGATACCACTGCCCGTAGGAAAAGATGTATTCTGGGTGCCCTGGCTAGGGTAGTTGGAGAAAATATAGATGAGAATACCAAAAGTCAGAGAAGATTTATATAAAGGCAAAGGCAATCTTGTTTTCATGAAATCCCCAGAATTTTCGTCCGTGGCAGGCACAGAGCAGTAATACACATTGGTTGAAATCAGTAATAGTGTGCTGATAAAATCTTCCCCTGCTTCCTTCTCAGTTGTTGGCAGCCAGGTGTATATTTATTTAATTGCTTGTAGGCCTCGCCTAGAACAAAAAATGTATTTTCTAGCAAATGGTTTGCTGCTACAAAGCTGAAAATATACCTATTAAGGAGACGTGGACACAGGGAAAATAGTGAGAGATAAGAGACTTGGGGAAATAATTCTAAGCAACCTAGCTGTTAAGGATGAACCTCTCGGGGAATTTTAGGGAAGTGATTTTACCTGCCTGTGCTTCAGTTTCTGTCCTTATTTGTGGAATGAAAATAATAAAAGTACTTCATAGATTATTGTTAGGTTTAACAATTATTGTTAGGTTTTTTTTTTTAAAAAACAAACAAAAAATTGTTAGGTTTAGAACACTTCTCAGCATATGCATCATTTTATCAGTGTTACACCCTACATCCTGTGAACGTCAGATAATTAAGTTGAAATGTCATTCAAATGCATTTCATTAGCAGCTTTAAAGGGCAAGAATGGCATTGAAGGTTGTAGGGAGGTTGAAATTGGAAATATATTTAGTTACTTAAGTTTTTCATTAGACCTAGAGTCTTAACTCATCTTGATAAATATTTAGTGAGACCCCTTGATAAATTGTTTTAGAATTTGGAGTAATTTTGTTTGAATGTGTCAGGCCAGAGAATAATGTACATGTAGGGAAAAAATAATCTATTGTTTTTCCAGTCTTTTGGAGTCCTTTACTACAGGTATTTATAATCTGTAGAGTGTATAGCTTGCTAAGAATAATGGTGTATGAACTGATAAGCTGCTTTTACTTTCCCTAAATGAAACAAAAAGAAAAGTTTTGAAAACCTATAGAATAATGTTATTTTTTTTCTCTTTCTCTCTGCTGGTGTTCCATTTGATTTTTCTTATAGCAGTACAATTTTCAAAGCCAATAAACAAAATATTTAATTGCATGATATTTTGGACAACTTTTTTTTTTTGCATTTTTGTGTGTTTTATTTATATCAAATTGGATAAAATGTGTGTATTTCTCAGACAGAAAAGACATGTCGAGGTAGAAATGTACCTTTCAACTATTCATGGGTACATTGGACAACTTTTTCATATGCATTGCTTTCTGATACTTACAGGGTTGTCATGTACGATGTATGGTTTGTTTACTGTACAAGTCAAGGAGACAAATAAAGCCTGAAACGCAGACTCTGCTTTACTTTCCAAGGTATATGCTCTAGTATGGGCTGAGTATGCACAGATAGGGCATCTTTTTCGAATGAATTTGCACAGAGTTACCCTATAGGCTAACAGCAGCCCTGAATATTTGGTTTTGACATTCATCTAATGTACAAGTGACAGTAAGCATTAGATAATATAATTGAATTCTCTGTCACAGATGTCCTGCGTCCTAGAGTCATTCAGTGGCAGTTTTAATTATTCTACAGAGATATTCCAAAAGAATATGGCACATCCTTATACACACCTTTTAACTCTGTGGAAAAACTCTTCTTAGACATTTTATTATTCTCCTTCTATTAACTTGAACAAATGAAGTCGGACAATGCAATTGTAATCGTGACTAGCATTCAGCATTGTAACGTAGACCTAGAGTTGAATGTTAAGATCAGCTTATTTCTCTTTATTGCTTTAGATTGATAAAATATTCAAACAAATAATAATAAAGGCCCTAGTAGAGTATTAAGAGAAAGTGGCAGGCATTAATGTGTAATTTGTGAGAAAATGGAAACCTTTCATGTATGGTTTCTTTGCATTACAAAAGAAGCAAAGGGAATTTAATCAAATATGGAAAATATGAAGGAGTGTTTTTTATTTTTTTAAATCAAACTTTCTCGAAGGAATAAGAATCCTATAGCTTCCTTTACCTTACTGTGGATATACTGAGATTTCCAGCCCTTTTATACCACTGCTGGGGTTTGATTTCTGGCTCACTACTTGGTGGTTGTATATTTACTTTGTTCCTTGGTTTTACAGATTATGAAAAGAGGGTGATAACTGTGGGTACCATTTGGATTTTTGTAAGGTTTAAATATCATAATGTACATAAAGAAATAAGAACAGTGCTGGTTAAAATTCAAATCAATACCCATTTTAGCATTTTAATACCCTTTCGTATAGTAATATGATAGAAATATATATATATTTTCACTTTAGTGTCACTTTCAATTTAATGACAGTATTGGATTTTTTGGATGTTTAAATGACAAATGGATAGATGTGTGACAAATAACCACCAAATAATTCATTCTTTAAAAAGACATTATTGCATTATCACTACCTTCATCATAATCGATTAGTAATTTGTAATGGTGCTTATTCTACCAATACAGAACTATTTTAAGTCTTATATTTTTAGAGATTTTCTAAAGCTATATCAAAATTAATGTTTTAAAAAGATCTGGTGGTAGTTAGACAATTCAGGGAAGTTAAAAAATGGTTGACCAGGGTTACATTATAGCCTGTTAAAAACATAAATGTTTATTCTATTCAGAGCATTCTCTGATACAGTGACTATGTACCACACTGTTCCTCGGCAAGACTGCAGACACAAGTCTGTTGGGCTTCTGAGCTCTTGCTGTTATTCTTTGTTGGCCCCAGCAGATTGGTTATTGATGAGCCATAAAAAACAAAAATCTAAATTAGACAATTCTTATTATTTTAGAGTAGTTGAATACTACATTGCTTTTTCTAGCAGACATCATGCCTAGAAAACACTATTACGTTCTTTATTTTGTAAGACTACATATTCTAATATGATTATTAAGTGTGATGGAGAAACTCAGTTGCCATAGACTGCCATTAATTGTGTTCAGTGAAAGTGCTGAATATGAGCACTTTACCTTTTGTTAGTTTCAAGGGTCCTTATTTAGTCAACTACAAATTAGGTAAGAAAAAAAAAATTAGCTAAAGAAATTCAGGTTCCGTTCTCTAGATGATAACTTGTTGTGTGAACATACTTTAAGTAACTAACCCTAAGTTAGAGAATGTTACATACAACAGAGTGCAATGTTCATAGTCCAGACTGGGCATCTAAGAAGTTTGTGATTTGGAGCAAGTCATATCACTGTATTGGGTCTAGTTATGCTTTGAATAAATAGATGAGGCTTAGAGTTTTCAAACTGTATCTTCCTAGTCACACAGTCCTGTAGTTATTTATTTTTTTCATCCACATATTATGTCACTAAAATAAAGAAAAGGGGCTTCCCTGGTGGCCCAATGGTTGAGAGTACGCTTGCCGATGCAGGGGACACGGGTTCGTGCCCCAGTCCGGGAGGATTCCACATGCCGCGGAGCGGCTGGGCCCGTGAGCCATGGCCACTGGGCCTGTGCGTCCGGAGCCAGTGCTCCACAGCGGGAGAGGCCACAGCAGTGACAGGCCCGCGTACCGCTAAAAAAAGAAAAAAAAAGGACAATCCCTGAATTAGAAGATCTGTTCAGGTTCCCCTGTCTTTAAACTCTGAGTGCTCTAAATAAATTATTTTGTCTCAACAATTTATTTGGTGCCTCATTTAAAAAGGGAGGAAACATAAATCTCTACTATGAACATAGTTTTCTCCAAAAAAGTCTACTATTTACTTCATTAGTCTTTGCTGTTACTCCTGTTTTTTATGAAGCTAGATAGCCATTGGAAGCTTTACAACTCATATTACAAGTTATATCTTTTTTTAATTATTATTTTACTTTAAATTATTTGTGTCTTTTTGTATGTTTCTTTTTTAAAAAAATGTTTCTTCTAGTTACATAACACAGTTATAAGTGACAATATTTAGTTTAGTCTTACATTTTATCTAGACTATCATTCTCTGCCTGTTTAGTTGGCATTTTTTTTTTTTTTTTTTTTTGTGGTACGCGGGCCTCTCACTGCCGTGGCCTCTCCCGTTACGGAGCACAGGCTCCGGACGCACAGGCTCAGCGGCCATGGCTCACGGGCCTAGCTGCTTTGCGGCATGTGGGATCTTCCCGGACCGGGGCACGAACCCGTGTTCTCTGCATCGGCAGGCGGACTCTCAACCACTGCGCCACCAGGGAAGCCCTAGTTGGCATATTGAGTCTACTTATATCTACTATAATTATTTATATGTTTGGTATGAGACTATGATTCATCTCTTGTTTGCCCCATCTGCTTTTTTGTTCTTTCAGCTCATTTTAAATGCAATTGTTTATTATTGAAATCTATGTTTAATAAAGTGGTAAAAAATAAAGTGGTAA